AAAAGTCTAACTTTCTAGTTTCTAATAATACCAAAAAATGAACAATGTTCTCAAAATAGGATTTTATTGAAACGCTGGTTCGTAATCACACATGAGTAATTGCGCTAATTGGGTTCTTTAATTAAAAAAAAAGCGTGTCCATTTTTATACATCATCTGAAAGAGCTTCGTTTTTTGAGGACAACGATATTTTTTTCTTCGAAACCGTAAATTTTCATCACGATTTCTAAATCAAAGTTTAAAGCAAAATATTAACTCCACTGTTTGACACACTAACAAATTTACAGCTTGCTCCCAAACAAAGTCGCACTGAGGGGCGCTAAGATGGTGATATTTGCTAATGTAATTGCACTTATTTATAATAGTTCCAGTGCTCTAATTTTGACAAATTTCGGATTTCGGTTCCATGTTTAATGTAGATTACGAATATGCCTTCACCTCAATACCCTTAAAGAACCCAATTGGAAATAGTAGATAGAGCTTCTTTCTCTATGATGACCGGTATATGCATTTGGGTTAACATCCGACGCCCCTCTGCACAAAAATACTTTCTAAGCCCCGCCCCTGACAGGATTTCCCACCGTTTTTTTTTTATGAATGGGGCGGGGCAGAAAGTATATTTTGTGCAGAATATGTAAAAATGATGGACCTCGGATGTTTATCTAATTGCATATACCAGGTTTTACAGTCAGTTGGTTATAAATCACCCACAGAATAACATCAACATATTGATATGTGATCGAAGCTCTCTGGGCAGTAGTTGGGTAAAAAATTACCGGAATTAAACTTTTTTTATCACATTGTAGTTTGCTTAAAAATTATTTCCCGGAAAAATATGATCGTTAAAGTCCATGTTTTTTTCAGGGGGTTGTTTTGCATAAATAACTTTTCTGCGTTTCGTATTAGGGACTGTTCATTAACTTAGTAGACAATTTTTTGAGATTCTTGACTCCTCTCTTCCCCCTCGTAGTTAATGAACAGCCCCTTAGTTGAACGGGATCCAATTCACCTTTAACCACAGACTTACTCCTGCTTACTACAGGACCAAGCCGTCCGAAGCGGTAATGAGTAGAAGCGCGAAAGCAGTGCTGTTTTATATCTTTTCAGAAAGATGTGCAACCAAGTGGTACTCGATTATGATGACTGGGTTTGGGAAAAACGCTTTTTTCATGAAAACAGTGATTAATTTATTTGTACATTTTTCAAAAGATTTATTACAGAAAAATTGAAAAAATGTTTATTTCAGCAGGTTCCTGTTGTAATTACCTATCGATTGTTGTATTTGGATTTTAATTTCATCTATAAATGTCAAAGTTACAAGCGTTCAAAACCTAACACTACTTCACCACACATATTTTTTGATTTGTACCCCAGTATAGTCGACAAAGACGTAGTTCTACGTCAAAAACAAAGTGAACCCAAGAGAAAACCCCATAACGAACTTTTTCAAAGGATCAGGTAAGCTATAAGTTATGTTTGTTTCATTTCTGAGTCTCAGTATTATATTTGTGCAGGCATGTTTAATCTAAAACTGCTGGCCAGAATCAATCCGTCAATGATCCGAGTCGATCCACTGCTCCTTCCTCGACTTCAGCCGTTACAATTTTTTCTCTTCCATAAATGAATTTCAATTAGGTTTTATGGAAAATCAATATAAATACTTGCACTAATCATTATGTTGAGCTTCTTGTGATTTGAGGTATCGCACGATGTGTTTCGGCGCATGTCAGAATCTGTCCACTTCCCAGGGGTACCCGATACTTCTGAAAGAGGCCACGAAGTGTTTAGAATCGTATTTATAAGCTTATAGATTGCTCTTTTGATTGTCGATTTCTCCATATTTAGGTGGTGGAAACTTGAATCTCTCACTAAGATGTGCTCGTTCCCCCGCTGCTGGCGTGGACCAGTACTAAGTAACTAACGGATTTCTACACTACTTGTAGGCTAAGTAAAATTTTCCGAGCCTCATAAATCTTTTCGAATGTGACAAAAATCGACGTAAAATTTACTCATTCTCGAAGTATACACTCAAAGAATAAATCACATGTCCAATGGAAAATATTCAACCACAAAATCACATGAACCTTATGTGTCAAATGAAATTTAGGTGATTTATCATATAGAACTCATGTGAAATTCAGATAGAAATAATTGGTTTTGTTAATGGAAAAATATTATGTGCATTCTGAATGGAAACTATATGATAACTTTTTCCGTGTACTAATTTCATATGTACATCGAGATGCTGCTCATATTAGAAAACAAATCCCTGTGAAAAGTCGGAAACTTTTACTCAGTCTATGAGCTAACTAAGTTTTCAAGAATATGAGTGTAATAGTAATGTATCTTTTTATTAATTGCTTTTAACGTATACGGCGTAAATGGATGCATTCCCAACTCCAATTAGGTTCAACTAGTTAAAAGCAAGTCTGTTTTGCTCGAACATGACTTTTACTGACATTTCAAATTTCGCATCTATTTCATGACAACCCCCCGTCACACAAAACTCTGCTAATTATATGTAGCCCAATTACAGACATTTCTGACATTCACAGATATTTTTCGCAGACTTCTGAGTCAAAATGTTGTCTTGGTCTGCATGATCTTTCATGCCAAAGACTTGTGAAAAGTTTCATCCAAATCGGAAAGGATCTAGCTTGCTTCGTAACCCATGAGTCAGCAGACAAAATTTGACAGCTCTATCAGTCGAACTCTAACCGTGATGGCAAAAACAGTGAAGCAACTCCGTTCAGAAGTGTGCGCGTTCAAAGAACGGCAACCCGTCGCGTCGAAAACGGACATCGTGCGGCACTTTGTGGACGCCGGATCCGCCCGTTCCGGCATCTACAACATCTTGGCACCGGACGGCCGACGACCCTGAGCGACAAGAAGCTCCAAAGGATGCTGAAGAAGAAGACCGAGGGAAAAGTGGCTACATCGTTGCGTGCGCTTGGCCGGGAGGTCGGTGCAACCGGCCAAACAGTGAAAAAGTACCTGGCGAACATGAACATACATGTCAAAAAGCGGAAGTCACGTCCACTGGTTTCGGAGCTGCAGGTAAGGACGCAGCGTCAGCGGCTGAATAAGATGGGCAACTCATTTTCCCCAGCGAATCGCGACGTGGCGGTGGTGATGGACGACGAGACCTATCTCACCCTGGATGGCAACGACTGGCAGGGCACTTCGTATTTTACTTCCCCCACGAAGGAAATGAGCTCCGAGGTGAAGTTCATTTCACACACCAAGTTCCCCAAGAAGGTGCTGCTGTGGCTGACAATCAGCGAGAAGGGGATGTCAAAGTCGCTCTTCTTTCGCTCCGGACTGGCCGTGAACGGGGAAACTTATAGTACGAAATGTCTGCCGGAAGTGGCGAAGACGCGGTGTTCTAGCCGGATCTGGCGTCGGTCCACTACTCGAAACGATCGTTGGAGGAGAAGGAGCGGCTAAATATCGATGTAGTACCCAAGTCGGCGAACCCGCCCAACGTCCCCCAGCTGCGTCCCATCAAGAATTTCTGGGCCAACCTGAAGCGTAAGATCTACTCCAACAATTTTGTTGCGAAAACTGAGGTGGAATTGATGAATAAAACGAAGAAAGAACTCAAAAACATGCCTAGACGCATGTTTTCGTACGCCATGGCGAGTGTTCCGGTTAATTGCCGGAAGGCCGCTTGCAAGTAAGCTTAAATAATTACCTTCCTTGGGAAATTTATCAAATGAAATTATCTGTCTTAAGTTTTTTTTATCAACATCCGAAAAAAAAGTCCTTTTTTAATGCAAACGTTACAGGACTCTAGTAATTCCCCTATAAACTTCAAAGGGCCAGTGCAGTATGAGTTCCTAAGTGTTGGTATAGATACGTGGATGACATTTTTTGCATTCTCAAAAGGGAAGATTTATCAAAAACTTTGGAGGCCATAAGCAACGTTAACAAGGACATCAAATTTACTCATGAAGATGAGAGACACGGCAAACTCCCCGTCTTAGATTTGCTCATCATCAGGGAAACGTCTTCGTTCAATTTCGAAATCTATAGGATGATAGGATGTTGTATTCTCGTTCCGGTCTATCTATTGCGCTAGAATTTGTCAAGACTTCACTGGATATGGAGTATCATTGTCAAATTCATGCATTGGTTCGCATAGGTAACTCTCAACTAATAACTGTGGAAGTTCTTTAAAGAACACAATGTTAAGAACCGACAAAACGCGTGCCTGAGAAGCATAATAAGAAAAAATCTACTCATTTATGAAAGATAAGAAGTTCTCCTAATGATCACCACAAATTTGTTTTCGACAGTTTACTTGGGGATGAATTATGGTTTGATTGTTTTAACGATTACAATCATAAAGCAGTTTAACCTTCAAACGGGTTTTTTATGATTGTTTTGATATATTCAAGCATCAACCGCTACGAAAACATTTCTCCAATTACCCGCGGTTGCCGTGATTGCCGTTGAAATTTTACCCCGTTTACAGTGGCACGTTCTCGCACTGCTTTCAACCGGAAACCGGTTCTATAAATCAAGACGATTAATTGAAATGTCTTGGATTAAATCAATCGCTGAGTGAGCTGCGATCCAAACAAACCATCATTACTTCCAACCAAATCGCAGTAGGCGCACGGTCGAGATACGAAACCGATTTACATAAAACATACAGCCTACTAATCAGCACTCGCACTTTTTTGTTTATTTGTGCCGATATCCCTACAACACGTTCCACAACTAAAGATAACGCTACGATCTACGATGGCGACAACGCCGACGACGACGACGACGAGTGCATGGTGGTGGTTGAGCAAGCCGGTAATATTTGTTTACCTTCTTGTGTTATTTTTTTTTCTCTTTTTGAATTTGCTGTTTGACTGTTACTGTGTTTTTTCTCTGTTTCATTTCTCATGGTGCCTACCCCACCCCCCGCAGCCAAGCTGGGAGGAAGCTGCACGTATGGATATGAGGACCGAACACAGAATTTACGAGAGTAAATATTTGTAAACTTACCTTGAAATTGCTTAAATAGCGCGCGCGGGAGAGAATTGGATTTTCTGCCTGCCTCCGTTGAATATGGTTTGGGGTTATTTTCCTCCTGTTTTGCTCGAAGCAGAGTGACGATGAACTTTTCCAATCCCCCGCTCGACGTAGCAACGGTAGCAGTAGGCGGTGGGTGGTGTTTTAATTCCAACCCTCCAATAATAACAATAATGAATCACTTTTCAATTAAGTTCTTTTCTTACTCTCCTGCTCGCTCTCACTTGCTGAGGACTGCGGCCGATGAATTTTCACTTCCACTTACACATACACACACACGTAGGCTGCATGTACCTACGACTGTCGGATACGGTGGAAAAACGAACACCCAGAAAAACGCCTCTTAACTTGGAGTTTTCCTTCCTATTACACAGTTTTCTTCTCAGATTTTCCCGCACGCACTTTGTAGCAACGGCATATCACACAGACACAGAAACAGAGGAGGCACACACAGGACTGCAAGATCCAAGCAAACTTGAAGCAGCGCCTCTTCTTGCTGCTGTTGATTCTTCCCAGACGGGCGAAGGAAAACTCACACTTCCCAAAAAATTTTCGCGATTTGGAAAATACACCACCTTTCCTTTAGCTCCGTTGTCAGGCTTGCAAATTTTCTTGGCCCACTATATTATTCACTGGTTGAGTTGCTGTTTTTGTTTTAGAACTTTTAACACCTTAGGAACCCTTGAATATGATAGTTTGCTTCCAGTTTTACATTCCGAACGCAGTAACCTTCGACTGTGGCAGTAAGCTGGACGCCACCGAACTTGCCTCACCTAACTGCACAGACATTTTCGCGATGAATCCCTGGGAAATTAATCTTCGATATGGTGCAATCTCTGTAGGCAACCTCTGGCTCGCTGAAATATGCACTGATCACTTCCGAGGTTCTGGATTAGTAACCACTTTCGTTGGCTTTTTCTTCCTTCCCTGGGTTCTTTTACCACCACCGCCAGCAGAAGTAGGTACTGTCTAAAGTACACCAGTAGCAGGCCCAGGCTGATTCGATTCTGACACCGAGAGACGGGACCACTACGGATACAACTCGCACCGTGGGGTATAACTTTCAGGGCTCAAGTACTACTAGAGATAGAGACACACTAAACACTCTCCAATGACGACGACGGCGACGGTGATCAAGACTACAAACACGAACACGACTCGTTGTTGGTTCGAAAACATCTGTCAAAGTTTTCGAGTATCGCTACATGGCCTGGTGTCTGGTCATTGCCGAGAGAACGCTGAGCGAGATTACGGTCCGCGAGAACCGCGAGAGCGCGCTTGATTCGGGGCTGTGTTATAAAGTTCTATAGCTGCACGTTGTGTGTATGGAGGTGACAGACTGTGGCGATATCAGTTTCAAGCATCGTCCGGCTTGTTTGGTTCACGACGACGTCCACAACGACGTCGATGGCGATGATGGTCGGTTGAAGAGAGAATGTAAGTAGAGCGATCAACAGCTCCGTGCGAGTATGCGAATGTTTGTTGGGCTATTAAAAACAGCTAAGGGAGTAACTCATCCATCAGGTTGAATTTCTACGTGACAGGTTCTGGAATCACGACTTCTTCTGGAACTAATTTTAACGTGTTTAGAATAGTCCTGTACAATACTGATTAAAATACGTCCTAGAAGTCACTCAAACTATATCCCTTAAAAATCATGTAAACTTCCCCTGGACGTTCTTCGAGCTTTTAATAGAAGCTATGCGATCTTCTCTTGTTTGTTGAACATCACCGAAAAGTTCTGCGAACTCATCTTAAAGGCCCAAACGCAATATGTCACAAATGACATCAAGGTGCCTAACCGAAGTCTACCCTAATAAACGCGTACCATATACTGACGATATCTTAGATGGTGCGACCATACCACATAAAATTGGGATGATATCCCGAATTGGTGGTTAGGCGCATCTTATGGTTATTGTTTATGCGGGATAGTTGGTTCTAACCAGGCATGGCAAATCATTTACATTCATTTCGTGCATTCATTTACATTCATTTGCCTCTAACTTTTTCCATCAACAGAATTCCGTTAAATGATGTATAAAACTTTTGTAGATTTTGATATTAACTGTCGATATATCAAATCTGTACCTCTTATGCATGACGAACTAGAGCGGGCAGAACTTGTTACTATTTTTTAGTGAATGTAATTTACATTCACTGAAAAACATAGGTATGTTCTGTTTGCCCCGGTTCATCATGCATAAGATATACAGATTTGAGTTATTCAAAAAGATTGTAGCTAATATCAAAACCTACAAAAGCTTCATACATCATTTCATGGAATTCTGTTGATGAAAAAAGTTAGAGGCCAATGAATGTAAATTAATTGCCATGCCTGATTCTAACTAGTTTTCAATCCGACAAGTAGGCTTACTCAGATCGGGCTTCTCCGCTTCCGCTGTCATTGCGCTTGGGCCTTAAGTTCCTTCAAACTTCCTCTGAATTTTTTTTCAAGATGACAGGTTTGAAAATTAAATCACTATCTATCTTGCACTATCTTGCAAAATCTTCAAGGCTGATTGAATTTGATGGGACTTTCTAATGAACTAATTCCAAGAGAGTTCTGGGAAGAACTGAAACGAAAACCTCAAGGAAAATCTGCTTTCGAGGTAATTCTGAGGAACTCTAGATTCCATGTAAATACTATCGGAGAATACCAAGGCAGATCTGAATAGAATTCCAGGGAAAACCTGAATAGGATTCAAATGAAATTTTTATGAAAATTCATAAAAAAATTTTAAGTTAATTCCTAAGAAATTCTGAGCAAATTTAGAAGATGATTTTGATGATTATTTCATGATAATTGTGAGGAGAACTGCAAGGCAATTCAAAGGAGAAATCCAAGGAAATTCTGAGGATAGTTCCAATAAGTTTCTGGGAGAAATAGAATCCGGAGCATAATTCCATGGGAGCTTTCGGAGAATACATAGAGAGGAGAATTAGAATTAATTATAAGAATACTGGAGAACTTCAAAGGCATTCGGAGAAAAGTTCTGACTTGAATGCTAAACAAATTTTAAGGAGAATTCAAAGAAATTTGTGAGGAGAACTGCAAATGAATTCTTAGGAGAATTTTAATAGTTGTGAGTAGAATTCCAAGGGATGGAGCATAATTCAAAGGGAGTTCTGAAATAAGTTCAATCAAAATAATTCCAAACAATGTCATTGAATTATTCGAAAAGGATTCTGAGGAAAATTTGAAGAGGCTTTCGAGGAATATTCCAATGATATTCCGATGATAATTTTTAGAGAGTAATACGAAATTCTGAGAACCATTTCATAGAAGCTATGGAAATTCTGAGCAGAATTAAAAATGAATTCCTACGGTAATTCCATGTGAATTTCGGGAGAATACTCAGGCGAACTCCATGTGTATTTTCAGTAGAATTCCTAGGTATTAAACATTTGAAGAGCATTGAAGAGTAAATTTAAATCGTGTTCTGTTGAAGATTTTCAAGAGTATTATGGGAATACCAGAAAAAGGTCTGACATGAACTCTGAGGATATCCTGAGATGATCCTAAAAAAATCCTGGACACAGAAATTAATTCAAGATCCGACATTTGGACAAAAAAATAAAATTCTGTGGCTTCGGAGTCCAGTTTGCTGCATTTTATAATATGTTTTAAAGTTTCAAAAACTGACTTAATAATAAGTTTTCATATGTTAAATTTAACATTTGATTTTTTTTGATAATGGTTCTTGAAATTCTCAGTTTAGGACATTTGAATTAATTCCCCTAAAAGTCCTTTGATTTTCCCTTTAATTCATATAAAATATGAGCAGGAGCCTCCATTTAGCTCACAGCTATAAAGCAAGTGTCAGCATGCTGTAGGTGGCTGGGTTCTATTCCCGGTCCGGTCTAGATTTGTTCAAGGATTGGAAAATTTCCACTACAATGATTGCATGTGCTTTTGTAGATAGGTATGTTTGTAAAGAAAACAACTGAGACAGCCTACATTCTAGAAGAACAATCTAATAGGGCTTCCCTTAGCTCAGTCGGTGAAGGTGCAGCTACAAAGCAACACCATGCTGGAGGAGGCTGGGTTCGATTCCCAGTCTGGTCTAGGAATTTTTCGGGTTGTAAAAATGCTCGTCTTCCCTGAGCATATTGCACTTGCAACATAATTATACTAATACAAAAATGGTACAGGCATCGAAAGCTTTAAATTAATAACTGTGGAAGTCCATCAAGAACACTGAGTTGCGAGCATGGAATAAGCTAAAATGCAATGAGCAATAAGCTTGAAATGCGAAGAAAAAGAAAGAAAGATGTATCTGGATTGATCGATTCTCTTCAATGACTTTCTCTTTCGTTAATAGCTAAGCTGCAAAAACATTCCCTCTAAACATTTAGGATGCTTGATAATACCTTATTTTATCAAACTATGAGGAAAAATAGCTCAAAATGTGTGTCATGTAATCAGTAATGTCAATCTAAAGAGATAGTCGAGGATGCAGATGGGACCTTTTAAAATTCATCTATAATTTTTATTATTCCTGGAATTGACGCTCTTAAGTGGACCCTACACGATTACTTTTATTGACAATAATCATATTGTCAATACATTCTATATTGACGTCAATATATCGAGATTGACAATATTTCTGAATTCACATCAATATTATTGTCAATAATTCCCCTTCGCGTCAATATATTGATGCGTGTGGGGTTTGCTTTACTCGAGTTTTCCCCTGCTCTCAACTTATAGCGAATTTGTTTATTATTCAGTTCCAACCTGGATCGGGTATCAAGATCGGCTCTGCTTGTTTTCTGACAAACGTCAGTTTGATCGTTTGTTTTTAAAACCTACCTCAGGTTCAGGTTCGCACTGACAAAAAGTTCGGTTTCACACTGAGTTGGAACTGGTTCCAACCACGATAATTAACAAATTCGCTATTAGTGTGGAGGTCATCAATTCAGAGTTTTCTAGGCTATCGGTCAAGATGCAAACATTGCAGTGGAATTAAATGGAAACAATAATTATTTTTTTGGCTGTTTTGGATTATGCCACTAACAATACCACTTTTAAAACTTTGTACCAAATAAAATAGAATTCATGATTTCAATACTTTCCTAATCAAAGACAGGTAATCCCACCTTCCTGTTGGTGAATGAAATATTTGCAATTCGTGGAATACGACACCGATCAAACCATTTCCCACACGTCCACTACTCTTACAGCAATTTCGAAGAGAGAAACTCTCCCGGTTAGCTGGATCTGGATAGTGCACATTGAATCATGTTGTTTTGAATTATTTCTACGATTGTGTACGTGGTGTAAGGTAGCAGGCGCTGGCTGCTTGCATGGCCTTTTCATATAAAATTGATATCGCGCGAGGCGGCGCTGGCTGCTATGCCTACTCTAGACTGGAAACGGCATGCTTGGATGAAACGCGCATACTGATGAGTGCTCCAAAAAACAAACTCTCTTTGCCTGCTTTCGTCTGTTGGGTTAGTATTAGTTCCATTTATATAGAAAAGACGGTTTTTACTCTGCGGTGGTGGGACGATAGAGTTACTAGTTTTACTATTGATCATATCTATAGCGCGAAATATGCCACAAGATTGATGCTTGAGCTTGAGTATCATCTTTGCTTTTTGCCTAATGAAAGGCAACAATATTATTTTCCGTGAAGATTGAGTAACCAGGAGTAAAAAAAAAGTTAAAGGGTCTGTGCCAAGGGGCACGAACGGAAGCTTGACGTAGGACCGCTAGTGCACGGAACAAATGTGAAGAGCATTTAGTTCTTTTAATTGATCGATCATATATTATCTTAACTCTTTTTGTTTTTTTTGACGTAGGATTACGTCTTTCGGCAACATATTGGGTGGTCAAGTTTTGACCACTTATAGCGTTAGCGTTGTTATGACATTCACGTCTCTTCTGAAATTCTCAGCAAGACTACTTTCAGGAATAATGCTGGGGAGTAAACATTGGTTCCAATCTAAACAAGAGTAACAGAAGCATGTCTGTCGCTATTCCTGGCCCCGCCCTTCTTTACCATAACTAGAGATAGGGAAGGAAATGTTGATGTAGTACTTACTTAACGAGAGGCCACCGACTTAGTGACACCCTCATAAGTGCTACGGAGTATGGGGGTTGGGTAGGGTATTCGGTTAGGATTCACCTCAAGTTGGCGATGCAACCAAAAGCATGTATTTTTTA